AGTAGTAGTAGTAGTAGTGTAGGAGGGGGAAGAGACATTTGCCATGCCCACCAAAACCCTATGCAACACCTTTTTTACACTGAGCCAAGCTCCCGTGCCTCCTATATTGAGCCTGAAAGGTGGACAGTCCATGTTATCGCTAGCTTTTGTCGTTTGTTGGTGCAGTGGACCCTAAACACTAAACCCTAACCCCNNCCCCTAAACCCCCTAAAGTCCTAAAGCCCTACAGTTTTAAATTCCCAAAGCCCCAGGTAGGGCTCGACTGCAGGCTCGTGTCGAACCCTGTTTCATCTGCACAAATCCGGGTTTTTGCGCCATCAACATCTGCACGTGGTTCCTCCAAGTCATAATCGGTGTCCATGCAGCCCCACTCTAATCCTAAGCAAGAAGATCCCGAATCCGAAACCGGCCAGTCTTCGAGCTGGAGAAGTGGCGAGTTCGATTTACCGGGATTCCCGTAGCGTGGGCTTCGTGTCTGCGAAGCTCTCCCGGCCGGGCTTCGGCTGTTCTCAAGCCAGGACAAGAAAGAGCCCGACAAAAGGCAGAAGCTCTGGCATCAACAGAGCCCGAAGCATGATATTGCCTGACGGGTGCTTGAAAGACCATGTAGAGGCCTCGGAGATGAGGATTTCTGTTGATTTGAACCAAGCATAGACCGATTGGGTGAGCTTCAAGATGAGAGCTTCGGTGCGCATGCCCGCTGGCAGCTGCAGCATAGATGGGTGTTCGCCACCGAACTCAAGGAGTACATGCGAGACCTTCGACGGGCACGCCTGCTCATGCGCGTGTAGTGCCGAAGGACTTTATGCGGAGCTTAGGGAGCGGTCATAGCATATATACTAGTACAATAGCTCTAGTATATTGTAGTTTATTACAACATACTGCAGTATGTTATTCTCGTATATTGTCCTAATATACTAGGGAAGGTCCTAAACCCAGGCGGGACACGTCGCAACTGCGAGCTGCCAGTAGTTAGCACGACGTGGACCTGCGGATGAAAAAAGTCCCGAAGCGCATCGCTTCGGCCGTCGGCTGCCCCCTGGGTTGAGGGCTTCAGGGTCCGTGCAGTGGTTGCTAATTCAGCACGAGGCCTGGGATATGCTGGAGTCCCTGAACCCAGAAAAGCCATAAGATAAGTTCCTTATTAGAAGTATAGTATAATAACGTAATATCCCCCAAAGCCCCATTCTAATTATTACGGCTAGTAATTAGTACCGTCCCCTCTCCTGGTCGAGTATACTTGTCAGTGCTGTCAGAAGCCTCCCACAGCTTCGCGCTGCGATCTTGCTAGCCCGAAGCCTCGAATCCCCAGCCGAGCCAAGCTGAAGTGAAGTCCTTATAAACCCCGAAACGTCCGAAAACCTGAAGCCCTAAGCGTACCTGCCCAGGAAATATTGCACCCCCGAGTGCCAGCGCGCTCACTGGCCAGTCTGAGCCTAAGAGCGCACCACATGCAGTTTGACCCGGTTGACGGTGGAGATCATGACCATGGCCTTCACACAATCCCCGTCAAGGTACCCCCAAACCTCAAAACCTCAAACCCCAAGCCCCAAAGCAAAATCATAAACCCAAAGTGCCCACAAGGCTGATGTAGGCCGACAATGTTAAGGCCTGTATACCCAAGGCGGACTCGGCTCTTGCCAGCGAGGTGATTCGTATAGCAGATTCCGGGCATTCAGTTCAATTCCTACATCGTTTAGGGGTTTAGGGTTTAGGGTCGATTCCTAGTTGCATCATTCCGTTGCAGGTCACAAGCTTGCTGGCTGTGACACGTAGGCAGCTCTATTGCACAAACGCCCCAACAGCATCTTCGAACACAGAGCTGAGCAGCTGAACCCCAACCCCGAAAATTACAAGAACCCATGACATGCCGGCTCCTAAACCCTCAACCCGAAACCCTAACCCCTCCCCTGGTTGAGGTCCACAAAGCCGGGCCCTTGGCTGCTCTGAGATTTCGGCGCCTGGAAACTGTCAGTGCACTCTTTTTGATTACCTATGCTCTTTTGGGGTCCCGTATTAAAAATATAGTATAAAGTATTCAAACCTTATTCTAATTATTCTAGGGGCCATCACGGGTTTTGAGAAGTTTGGGGTTTAGGGTTTACGTCGAGGATGTTTCAAGGCTGAGGGCTTGGCGTTAAGTTTGGTGAGGTGAAGAGGTCTGCTGGTTTAGGGTTCAGAATCCTCTGGATATTGGAGTAGAGGCTTAGGTTTAGGGTGGAGGGGGTTTGTGAGTTTTTCGCTTTCAGGGCTCCCCTAAACCCTAAACCCCCAAACCCTAAACCCTAAACCCTAAAGGATAGCACAGGGTTTTAGCGGTTTCTATCATGTCGAAGTATGGACGCCAGATTTAGGCCTTAAGCACTCCCTAGACGCTAGACCGTAAGCGCCGAAACGGCAAGCCGGGAATCGAAAGCCTATACTGGGATTCTGAGGCTTCCAGGTTTTTTCAGCATCACGTCATGTGGATTCAGTAGCATGTCACATGTCTCTCTCTGGCGAAGCTCTAGAACAGGGACCTTACATCTTGAGGTGCCCCTCTGCGACCCCCAGTTTTCAGAGCAGCAATGTTCGTTTGGGTCGGGATTCTGAAGCCGTAGTGAACACGTGCACCGAGAGACCTTGTCTGGCGGAGTCCGAGTTGCGAGAGCGTACATCCCAGAACACACAAAAATTATTAACCTGAATCCTAAACCCAATAATGGTTTGGTTTGGGATTGAAGGACGAAGGTTCGGGGGTTCCTGGAACGGAGGGTTCAGGACTTCTTGGGCCTTGGGGGGGTCGAGTACCACTACCTTTCCAAGGGCTTAAGGTTTAAGGTTTAGGGTTTCCGAGGCTTTAGGGCTGTTGGGGGGCTTTAGGGCTTTACGTCCTCAGGGGCGTTAGGGTTTTAGGGCTTCGGGTACCTTGTCAACCCAAGCTGGACATAAACCCTAAACCCTAAACCCTGAACCCTGAACCCTGAACCCTGAACCCTAAACCCTAAACCCTAAACCCTAAACCCTAAACCCTAAACCCTAAACCCAAACCAAAAAAAGCGTGAGTCCGGCTGCCTTTGATTTCCCAGGCCCTCTGTGGGACTAAGCCGGCTTCGCGTCCCAAGCTGTCTGCTTGGGGACCTGGCGTGAGGGTTTTTGCCAGCGAGGGGGAAGCTCCGGGAGGTCCGTGGGCTGGGAGCATCCGCTTTAGGGGTTTAGGGTTTAGGGTTTAGGGTTTAGGGTTAAACCCTGACCACTGAAGCCTGTAGGTAAGGCCGATGAAGGATTCGTGGTTGCCTCTGCCCTTCATCTATTTCTTTGAGGTGCCTGATTGTTTTCAGAGTGCTGTTACGGCGTGCACGATCTTTCAGCAAACAAAGCTTAGTGTTTTCTGTTTTCGCTGACTGGATAAGCTTCATCTTGTCATTGGGTGCTTCCGAAATTCACGACGTTGCTCCGAATATGAAGCTCCTTTGCCTCGTGCATGGTCTCGACGTCAAGCAAGAGCCTAACATCAAAGAGGAACGGATCCGTGCACACGGAAGAGCCCCATAGCAATTCAGCATCACTCGCTGCGGCTCAAGCTTAGCTGCCATCTGCACTCATGGGCCAGCTCCTGAGAATGAAGCGAGGCACCTCATCACAGCCGCCAAAAGGATACCCTATGAACCTCAAGCTTCAGACGATCAATGGGGACGTGCATCCAGTCTCCGTTGAATCCAGTAACAACCTCTTCGAGCTTTATGAGGCTGTTGCAAAAGCCCTAGACGTCGACCCGTGGACGCTGCGCCTCACTGCTGGTACCACGTTCTTTGATGTGGCCACCGATGGAGAGACGACTTTAGAAGCTTTGGGCATCAAGGAGGAGACCGATTTGATGGCTCTTCGCTGCAAGGCCTGCTTTCTAGAGAGCCCTGGAGAGAGCCGCTACAACGCGGATTACGTCTGCACTGTGCTTCAGGTCCGGCAAGCCGGCTGGAACGCGATTGAGGTTGAGTTCAGCGTCCGGGGTGATGGATCACTGGGAAGGCTGCAGAAGCCCAAGGATTCGCAGCTCAGGGTCATTGATGAGACGGGCGAAAGCAGGTGAGGGTCTGCGACAAAAGAGCCCGAAGTAAAAGAGTAAGCACGATCCTTTTCCTCAAAGACCTGTAGGGACCAGAGACCTCTGATTGTTGGAAACCCTAAACCCTAAACCCTAAACCCTAAACTTACACCCCAGGTTTGTTCCTGTGAGCGTGCACTTGGAAGTCGATGAGGACGTCAAAAGTGGACTTTCCCACAAGAAGGGTACCATGACCTTCGCAGGGGTTCCGACAGAGGGTGAGGTCCGCTTCGTCTATGGTGTCGGAGGCTATGCTCCGCTGGCCATGAACCTGAGCCTGGGTCGCGAATGACCTTGCGGTTTAGGGTTCTAGGGTCACGGCCGAATGTGTGAAGTCATTCCGGAGACATGGTTGGCGAGAGTCCGAAGGCTTCTAGCTTAAAGCTGTGCCTTCGCATGCCTCTTGTTTCCGTCCTGGTTGAGTCGCTGCAAANNGCTGCAAACCAGATGCAAAAAAAGGTCACGGCCGAAGACTAGCACATCGGCCGCACAGATCACAGGCACGGCGTGGAAGTAAAAACCTTTTCCATGCTGGACTCAAAAAACCGATACTGTCGCTGCTTCTGGGGTTTTTCGATATATTAAATGACTAATTAGGTATGTCATTATATCGTCGAACTTCTTTGCAGTGCTTTGAGGGGGCCCTCTCTGCGCAGATGCACGCCGAAAGGCAGCTATGGTGTCAGAAATAGCGTTTCAGGGAAGTTCTGTTTAACTAGTTTTTTTTTATGACTGGTTGCATAGGTGCATGTGTTTTTGTGCGAATATGTGTTTGTGTGTATGCGCATATGCACTCATTCGCATGTACATGTGTATGTTCATGTTTGTCTGTCTGTCTGTCTGTC